CACACACACACACACACACATTTCCTCTAGCATACTTACTTATGGCCAGTTGAAAGAGACAAGGAGGCAGATTACTCATGGTGGTACTGTGGTTAAGCATTGGAATTCTAAGTAAAAGTTTAATGTTTCAAACCCACAAGTAACTCCATGGACTAAAGAAGAGATACAGAGATGCCATAGTTCTAGGACCCCCCTAAGGCAGTTCGACTTTGTCTCAATAGACTGTTTTGAGTCGGAATCAGCAGGATGGCATTTGGGTGTGGTAGGTTAGTGACTAGTGCAAGATCATGCCCAGATGGGCATAGAGAAGCCCCATGGTGTCAAATTCCTTTAGCATTTCATCCTATTAACTGTGTGAAATATTATCTCCCCAGGCCTAAGGATGGCAAGTCCTGTAGTTACTCAAAGACCTGCAAGAAACATGTGATCAGTTTTCACAGTTCAGACTACTACCTATCCTACCAACAGTACTATTTCCTTCTCTCCAGAATGGTGAGTGTGCTGTGACACAGAGGAAAAGGAAATGTGAAAGGGGGTTAGTGATATAAGGAGTCCTAAGGCACAGTTAATCAACCAACCATTAACACATCCTGAACTCTTCTTACAAACTAGGAATGCAAGACTTATTATTCTCATGTACTTTGGACATGCACTCACATAACACCTGAAAGAATGGAAACCTCTTGCTGTGCTCATAGCAATGCTATAGGAGGGAAAGAATTGTTCCAGAGGTTTTCTACAATTGTGATTTTAGTACTAGAAGTAAAATGTCTCATTGTTCTCTCATGTAACAGGCTTCAAACTCAGCACCTCAATGTTAGAGCCACCGTTAGCACCACATTACACAGGCAGGACTCCTACAAAAGGCAATAAAAAAAGTTAAAGGCAAGTTGTGGGAAGAACTCAGTGAACATTAAGTCCAGTACTTAGAATAGCTTGTTGATGGCAGCTTCTACAAGTTTAACAAAGTCTGGAGAAAGAGGCAGTGGGATGTCCTTACCAGAAGCTACTTACAAGAGAATTAACTGGTTACAGAAGGAGAGATGAGCCTGAAGCATCAATCTTTTCACTGAGTTTTAGTTGATACTTCTCTCCACAGGGATTTGCTAACTATTTTCATGATGAAATGATATGAAAGTCCCAAGAAGGAGAGTTACGTGGGTTTTTTTGCTCATTTTATTTTTGCCATTATTTAATAAACTTTAAGTTCTTGAGAGAGAAAAGGGAGAGACTTCAAGAGGCTTTTTCTTGGCTCCCCACATGATACATAGTATGGTCTCAAGTACCAAGTGGTCCCATATGGTCTGTGGGACAAGGCAGACAGTACAGATGTGTTCTGGGTGAAGTCTAGCATACAATGTCCCATAGGATCCTGTGAATAGACATTAGGCTGGAGAGTCAAGGGTTTAACTTTGCTGAATAATTAATAATAATAATAATAGTAGTAGTAGTAGTAGTAGTAGTAAAAATATGCACAGACATATTTCACTTCATTGTACTTTGGTGTTTTTGCACTTTGCAGAGTTTTAATTTTTTTTTTAATGAATTAAACGTCTAAGGAGCTAAGAAATTTCTCAGCATCTTTTTTCCAAAAGCCTGTGCTCACTTTGTGTCTCTCGGTCATAGACGATGATTTTCACAGTACTTCAAGCTTTTCATAATGTTAGTGCACATATGAGAGACAATAGTTTATTATAAACATGGACAGTATATATAAACATAACCTTTACATGCAATGACTCAATTCTCTGGCTGGAAGAGTTGTACTGCCATTGAGTTGATTCTGACTCCTAGCGACCTCTTCCCATCAGGCTTTCAAATCTGTACAGGAGAAGATTGTCGATATTTATCCATCAGCATGGTTGGGGATTCAAACTGCAAACTTAGCGTTAGGCAAGGCGCCTCACCTGATTACCATCAATATTGGCTTTGTTGACGTGGTTCTGCACCAGACTTTGCAGTATCTCTGAAGACTTTCTGTATTCTTGAATTTATAAATAAAGAAGGGAAAGGTCACGAACCCCCCACAAACGTGTTGTCCAGGGACCAGCACGTCTTAGCAGGAAAAACAACTTCCTGTTTCTGTTTGTCAGTTTATGTTTATTATTATTGTTCTTTATTCTCAAGCTGCAACAGACCAAAATTTTTGTGACACTCAGGGAAAATGACAAGGAAATGGAATCCATGATCAGACCCAACATGCAGAACACTATTCTGACATGTGGCTGTCAGCCGTCTTTTGGAGTTTCTGTGATTACTCAAAGTAATCACAAATGACAGTGTCCAGCTTTAGCTGTAGGATGTTCAAGGCTCCTAATCTTGATGGAAACACACCATTGCTATTGGTTGGAACACAGAGTAGGCTCAAAGTGCTAACTTCTCAGATAGCAGCTCAATACTTAACCCATAGGATCAACAGGATTTGGGGGAAGTGGTTACAGAAGCTTCTAAAGCTTTCTCACAACTCCTGGTATCACTGGCCAAGGACCAGCCACAACTCGATGAACAGGCTTTTAATAGCACTAATCTAAAGGCTAATAGCAGCTAATGGTGTTAGTGCATATCTCAGGGGAGCAGGATTATTGCTGGGTAACCCTTAGCCAATCTTTCTTCCACTTCCTGAGATACTCTCTTGTTCAGCTGCTAAGAGCATCATTATTTGGAAAGAAAGAGTCTTTCAAGGGCTCAGAATGATTCACTCAGTTGACCAAGGTCAATCAGCTAATGAAAACCAGGACTCAAACTCAGCTGGCTCAGAACCAGAAAGGATTTTGAAAGAGAAAAAAGGGGAGAGGGGATCTGTCAAAAATGCAGGTACAATGCCAGACCACATGAGAACAAGATCCTGGCCCATGGTAGATACAGGACATGTATGCCACTGGTGCTTACTTCCTTGTTTCTCTGGGTGTTTGTCCTCCAGATTGGATGCAGGAAGAAACTGTTCAAACATACCCAGCACTACATGGACATCTTCTGTTCCAATATGATGGATGTGAACCAGAAGATTGAGGCCACAGGATATGCCAACAACACCCGGGACCTCTTTATGAAAAACAGTGAGCCTCACATTCTTCCTTCAGGCCAAAGAGTCAGGTCTCCTGATTCTTGTCATGCCTCCACACACACACCAACATGGACCTGAAAACACATGTGTAAATACACATAGCACCTGCCCACAGAAACATAAATGCACATCAAAATGCAAGCACATGTTTGCAAGCACATTGTGAGGTACACATGTAAACAAGTGGGGGGAAAAGGCAAGATTCTCACTTGAATCTGAGCTGCAGATAAACATCTTCTAAAAAGTCAATTATACCCTAACTTTTGGCATGGAACAGAGCAGGGGTTAGGGCTGTTGTACATAGGGTCGCTATGTGTCGCAGGCAACTCGACAGCACATAACAACAACAACAACAACAACAACAACTGCCTGTTGTTGCAGTGTGCCGTTAAGTCAGAGCCAACCCATAGCTGACCCCTGGTAGGTTTTCAAAAGCCATAAATCACACAGGAGGAGATGCCCATCCTCCTCTTGCAGACCCGCTGATGGTTTTGAACCACAGGGCTTTGGGATGGCAGTACAGTTTCTTACCACGAGGCCCCCAGAGCTCCCCACAACACCATCACCAGGATTGCATGAGATATACTTATATTTCCATGTTTTAAGACTTTATATGTTTTCCTGCCTTTAACAGAATATTGTCTTATGACTATCTATCCTGTTAGTGGAAAATATTGTTTTTCACCTCAGACAGGTTTCTACTCTATACATATTCCAGTGTTGACATGTTTTTACTCCATTCAAAAGAGATTCACTGTTTATCCAGGACAAAAATGTAACTGAGTATTCTGTATTTTAGCTGGGAGTCCTAATGAAGACGTTTCCCCCCTCAAAATCATGTAACTGCTTTCTGTCCCCAAAGGTAACCCATTAAAAGAACACTGGACAGACTGACCAACCAGACAGACAGGCTGTGAAAGCACTAAGGGATCAGAATGAAAAGGAAACCTTAATACTCGGTTGAATAATTGCTAGGCATTTCAGATAAACAAAGGATCATTTGGGGATACAAGTATGGCTCACGCACTATTAAGAATATGTTTTTCTGTTGGAGACGATGAGATTGGCTCAGGATAGAGCAGAGCTCAGAGCTAATGTACATAGGGTCACTATGAGTGGCAGATGACCTGATGGCAAATAATAGCAACAATTATGGACTTGAGCATTCAAATCTCTTTGCTGAGCCCAATATTAGCGGTTCTGATTGAGGCAGAACACAGATCCGGGAGGACCTTGGCACTCAGCTATAGCCTTGGTGTTTATTTTCAAGCCGGTGTGCTGGGTGGCATTTCCCAGTCCACTTGGCCATTGGGCAAAGAGACAAGTTGCCCCTGGATGGGCTTGGCAGGAAAATAGCAGGTGATCCTAACAGACAGGTCTTCAGAGAGCCCTCTGTCTTTGTTTGCAGTTGTACTTTGTGGACGTGGTGGATACGCCGACTTCTACAAACTTCAGTGGCTGAAGTACATTCTCAGCTGGCAGAATCCTCAAAAAGGATGCTTTGGGACAGCCAGTGAGTACTGTTTTTAACTGGATGGTGTTCAGGAGGGTCTGGATTCCATGTGCTAGAGCCACCAGCGAAAGTAGTGAGTAACAGGGTATTGGCAGGCAGATGCACAAACATCCAAGGAATTTTGGAAAACACAATTAGGCGGATGGGATGCCATCTCTTTGAAAGACATTTAATTCCCTGGGCTTGTATTATCAAATTTACTCATTCATCAACTGTTTGTTGATGGAGGACCCTTAGGAGTCAGAATTCACTAGACCACAGTGATTTACTATGTGTCAGGTCCGGTTCTAGAATATTCTGACCGAAGGGGTATAAAGACAGAGAGAGGAGAAACAAGATTCTGAGGGGGAGAAAAGAAAGGCAAAGAACATCTCAGCAGGCCTGCAGACAAAACAATTGCGATTTCTGAGAAGTCTTGAGAAGAAAACAATGGGAGACAGAAGAGAAGAAAGTTGGGATGTTTCCTGAGATGAATGATCCGTAAAGACATCTAGTGGAGGTGACGTATTTGCAGAGGGAGCTCTGGTGGTCTCACGTTAAGGAGCCACACTTTCCACTCAAAGACCCATAGTTTGAGTCCACCAGCTGTTCCTGGCCACAAAGACAGGCAATCTCCTTCTGTACAAGTTACAGCTTCTGAAATTCAGAAGGAGGCTCAGCTTTGAGTGCGTTCTGACTCAACAGCTCTAAATGACTATAGGGTCTGCACGAACCTTCCTGCCTGGTAGTCAGGTAGTGGGCCAGGTAGTGGTGCAATGCTTTTAGGGTAAGCCCCTCCGCCTCTCTGAACCCAGTTTTCTGTCTGTAAAGAAAGGAGAATTCTTATTAGTCTGCTTGTACAAGGAGGACGAGCAGACAGAATGTCTGTGACACTACCCAGCCCAGCACCAGAAAGCATGAGAAAGCCAGCTACCATTAGTTATAGCGCCCCCTTGTGTGCCAGAGTAGAACGGTTCCCAATAGTTGATTTTTCACAAGCAGATTAGTCTCCCCTAGGGCATCTCTCAGTGCACGTGAAACTGCACTATTTCTGTTACTGGCAGAGTGTGAAAACCTTTGACACTCATCACCCGAGACACTAGGGTTGGGGAACTCTTCAGAAAATGCTAAATGAAAAGAACAGAGTGGTCTACGAAGCATGTCTTTTGAAGTAAGACAGTCTATTTTAAATCAGAGGAGATGGTAAAATACGGATTCTTGGCTACCTAGGCCCACTGATGCATTAGATCAAAGATGAGGGGTAGAATCTCCAAAAGTTCACATGATTCACTTTATCGCAACACTATCTTTATTGACATGGCCTGCAAGTGAACACACACTCTCTCTGAGCCATGCCTAAATCTTGTACATAACTCCCAACGTCCTAGCAACACAGACGCCACCATAGTAACACATGCTGGCAGCTGGATATCTGGCATCATTGGTGGAGGGGTACAGTCTCCCAAGTGAAGAGGCTGCAGTGGGCTAAAGGCTGTTTTCTCACTGAAGAAGTTATGAGAAGTCAACCATCAAAACCTCGAGAGTCCAGGAAACAGCATTTATACGGTCCTCACAACTAGCTGTGACATACTACTCATGACATGCTTACAAACAGGTTGTTGTTGTTGTTATTGTTATGTGTCATTGAGTTGACTGTGACTCATAGCCTCCCTCTGCACCATAGCTCTGTACCCTGCTCTGTTCTGAGCTAGTCTCACTGCCTCCGGCACCCCTACCTCCATTACCTCAGTTATTATGTCAATCCTTCCCATCCAGGGTCTTCCTCTCGATCCTTCCGTACATGATGTCCTTCTCCCAGGATTGGTCCCTACTGGCAACGTGCCCACAAGGTAAATGGTGTTCAAAGAAGGACCAGTGTTTCACACTCACTAAATGGGGTGCATTCTCTTTCTCCAGGGAGTTGTGACTCTCACCACACCATTTTGGCACTTGAAGCCTTGAGTGGCTTCCTCTATGCCTCAGCAAAGAACCCAGAAGCATTCAAAATGATACTCAAATTCAACACATTATCACCAAAGGCAAGCTTCCTCTGAGATGGATGGATCCAGGCGTGCTAACTGAAGATGAGACCCTGCCTTTTCTTCCTTCCTCCTTTTACCCTAAATGTTCTAGAAATCCATTCCAATAAAAGAAAAAAACTAAACCAAACAAACAAATCTAAATACATCTTCTCAGGTTGTTGGGGATTCACGGTTAACAGGAAGGGTGTGAGCTGGTCCAGTCAAGGTGGCTGAACTTTTTGCCTCTGGTCCCAGCTGCTATCTCTTCTACAAGTGGTTTTTATACTCACCCCGAGTCCAGAAGGGCTATGTCTACAGCTCCAGAGGGTCTTGCACAGGTCAGTGAAGACCAGAAATCTGCTTTCTTGGAAACAAATGACTTTCCTACTTGGAGACCAGACCAGCTCTCTGAATGATCCCTTCTCTGTTCCCTTAAGTCAATAGCTAGTGTTAGGAAAGAAAACAGCTCTAATTATAACCAAACACTCAAACTGCTCATCAATGGGTCGGTGGCAGCCTCTTTGTCATGTAAACTCACAATTATTCCCAAGTGTACTTTATTTCCATTCTCAGCTCAAGTCTTTTGCTAAAGGCTATTATTCACATGTGCTTCTGCACCTCTGGAAACATCTGTCTTGGAAAATTTCTTATCTAGATAAATACAGATCCCCCAGCAGGGCAGAGTAGAACTACCTTATCGAGTTTCCAAGGCTGCAGTCGTTAGTGAAGTTGACTTCTAGAACTTTCCACACTGGAGCAGCAGTAGGATCGATTGACAGCTCTTTCAAGTGGTACCTCAATACTTAACCCGAAGCACTAGCTGGGCTTTCTTGAGCCTTGATTTTTTTTCTACATTGAAATACAATTTTAAGGATTTTTTTAAGAATAAACCCTTGTCAGGATCACAGCCATCAGTGAATCTGCAATATGGCTCCAGAAAATATTTTATCAAATATCAAACCAGGGCCAGAACTGGACAAGATTTTGTTCTGCAGCACGTAAGGTGTTAGAGTTGACATGGTGTTGTCTAACAACAAAAACAGCACACCAGGTTCACAGTTTAGCCTGAATACCTCCCTCACCTTCTCTGAGTGACTCACTGTTGTCAAGTCAAGGAAAATACCCATTAATCATCAGCAGGGTCACGTGATCAGGCTGCACATGACGCTATTGGCCAGCCTGGGTCATGTGAACACTCCAGGACTAAACGTCATACTGAATGGACGAATGGGTATCTCTAAAGGGGAAAGGTGATACATCTGTTCTCCCAGATGGTAGATGATTACTATGCAACCTGATGCTGCACGATTTGTACCAAGATATGGGTAGCTGAACAGTTCTTGGCATTAGATTTGCTGCTTTTGTGGGAAGACTCTCATCCTCAAAGAAAGATACATTTCCCAACTCTTTGTCTTTTTCCCCCCTCTGACTCAAACCGTGGTGTTTTCAGTTGCTTTGTACACACACATGTGAAAGTTAGAGTTCTTAGGTATCACTGAATTGGCTCAGACTTAGGGCCACCAGAGCTCCCTATCTTTGTACCAGAGATCAAAATCCTAAATCTGGTCTAATTCTGTATCTGGTTCGGTATTTGATTAAATATCTTCTGGAGTCATATTCTAGATTTATTACTTACTCGTGCTAGTGAGGTTCTATCCTCATAAAAATGTTACAACTACACTCTTATCTAGGAGAAAGAGAGCCTTTGGCTAGTAAGGAATCCAGGTGATGCAGTGAGTTAAGCACAGAACCACTAACTGAAAGATATCCACCCTGTATTTGCTCTTGTGGCCAAGACTCTGGGATTCTGCTTCCCTAAAGATGCCAGTCCCAGAAGCCTTATTAAATAGTTCTGTCCTCAGGAAGATGACTTGCTGATGTGCAGCTGGAAACCAGTCATTGTCTTTGGAGCCCTGCGATGACATTTTACTCTGATACACGTAGTTGCCATGAATCAGAATTAGCTAGACAGCAACTAAGTAACTGGTAATTTAACTCAAGTTAAATGGGATTGAAGATTCAAAGCAAAGGACTAGAGATTCTCCAAGGTTGTGTTAAGGAGTGAGACCCAAGAACTAACTCACAACTCATCTTCGCTCAAAATTTATTTATCTAAGCAAGAATGTCTACAAGACTGATGGCTCTGAAGGTATAGAAGACAATGTGGACATTGGCCTCCAACAGAGGACTCAAGCTGAGTGTGATATTAAGGACACCTGAAATAATTCTGAGTTTCCGTGCCAAGGAAGACACCACAGACCCATTGATTTTCACATGGACCAAATATTTATTATTAGAAGTGCTTTATTTCCTGTTAGCCTTTATTAGTTTAAGAGAGCAGAGGTGGGATGATTTCAAAGGCTTCCCAAATTCTCAAATATGCAAGTCATCTGTCCTCAAGGAGACACTTGCTAGGATATTTTTATTCTGGGCTGACAGCCAATTGGGCTGTTAGTCCCAGTGGTGCTATGCTTAGTGTCCACACACCTGGCATGAGCAGCAGGAAGCCCTCTTGAAGAAAGGACTGCAGCCAGAGACAAAGAGAGGGCTCAGCCACCTGGACTGGATTGACTCCCACCCCCTCTGCTCAGCCCAGCAACAGAAGATGATGCATTTACGTTGCTTATTTCTTGGAATGGGATGCAAGAATATCCAGGATCAGAGGAGGAAGTGTTGAAGGGCTTGATCTCATTTCAGGTGGCAGGTCAGGATCCAACTGGCTTAGGAGGACTTGACTTTGTCACTGATGAAGCAGACTGGGTGGATATCCGCATGCTTGCGGGTACTTTTCCAGGGCATAGAGGAAGCCATCTGGGACGGCGCTGACACGAGCAGTGCTGTGGGCAGACAAATCAACCGGAGAGAGAACAACACATTTTAGTGAATGCTGGGGCAGCAATCATAGCCCTTCATTGCCCATCATTCTCTTGTGTGTCTCACCAATTAGTGCAGGCAGTTTGCAGGGGACTGACTGTCCGAATGTAACTGGTGCCTCATATGAAACCCCCTATTCTGGG